AAGATGTCATCGTCTCTCGAAATACAATATCTTTTTTATTTCGCTGTCGATAGCCCGACACGTGTTCCGCAGCCATCTTGTATTTTCTCACGCACGTGGGATTGTGGGATCTCTCTTATGACTGGATCTAGTTTCAAGAACTCTCTTGAGTCAATTGCAATTGAACCTCGTTTCAGTCGAGATTGAAACAGTTGAGGGAGGTCGTACCAAGGCAAACGGGGTATAAGGCTCTAGTTTAGTAGTGTTACAGAGTATAATACGTATATTTTAATATATTTTTTAAAAGAAACAAAACCATTGAGAAATGTTGTGTGTTTAACAAGGTTCAGAAAACTTTGAAAATGTTAACAACGGGTTCGGCCGAACCTGTGCGAACCTGCTGAATACCACCACTGTTTATATCTGATTTTAATAATTAAAAACACATCTGTGTTAAATAATGACAGCTGTTAATAATATGCAAAAACTTTATTCAACCTAACATAACCTTTACTTATTAACCATGACATTCAAGAAGTGTGTGGAAGCAATCAAGTCTAAGAGGAAAGTTGTAATACCAACAATTGAAATGAAAAAACTTATGAAGCATGAAAGCAGTAAACATGGCCACCAGATTGGATGCACATGCAACATGCCAAAGTACATGGAATGCAACAAGTTACTGTATAATAAAAAAAAAATGGCATTACTTGCATATTTTAGTTATTGGTAGTGTATTTTAATTTGTTATTGGGGATTTGATTATTTTTACTTTAAATTACATGTATTTGCTGTTTTAAGTTTATCAAAATGGGTATTGTTTAGGGTCTGTAAATGGATTCATTCACTTTCCATTACTTATAATGGGGAAANTAAAGTTAAGTTTTACTTTTTGAAACTTAATTTCTTTGATATGGAATATTTTTGTGAACCATTAGATTTATTAATAGAACATTAAATTTAAAAATGCAACACTTAATAATTAAATTAAATTAATAAAATAAAATAAATTAAAATAATTAAATTATCATAACAGTAGAGTTTTTGTATCAAGAATAAATGTTGCTCCTATATTAGGCAAGATGTAATATTTCATTTCTACCAAAACCCCCCCCTGAAATTTTCTTATTACAGGTTTAAATATTTGGTAATTTTTTTATGAATTTTTAAAAAATGGCCAATAAACGGTTTTTGAACAAATTTAATGTGTCTCTCATGAGGGGTCAGAATGACATTGATATCACTGATTTTGAACAAACAGATTATGGTGCATCCCCAACAACTGACATATGCCAAGCAATAAGGGACAATACTCAAAATTAAAAGAAGAAAATTGCACAATTACTTAACGTTTGTAAATGATAGAAATTCTAGAGTGGTCATTGGCTTGATGGGCATGCCAGTTTTGTAATCATGAGGTTGGTGTTTTGAATCTCAGTATAAGTGTGACTTTTTTTTTATAAAACTATAATTTTCACTTTATGACACTTTTTAAATTTATTGTATTGCCAGAAAACTGATTTAATTTTAGAAAACTTCAAAACATACAATAAATAGTAACAACAAAAATCAGCCCATTTCAAATAACAAGTTAACATCAAAACCAATTCAGAAATGCTACCTAACAATATTTAAAAACCAAAACAATCTGTTTATTCATGTATAGTTCATGCTTACTCTAGGTTAAACAATGATTTTCTTGCCAGTGTCTATAACTGAATATTCATTTGCTAAAGAATGAAAAAAAGATGGCTTTTTTATACTATCAATGTTAGCATGAGATAAAGGATTTGGAGAAGAATCACTACATGACAATATTGCAAAATTACATTTAAATAATGCTTTCATGTATTGTGAAAGCAGCCTTCAAAAATCAAGATCTAATTGTAGCTGAGGTTTCTTCATTAAATTTTGGCAGTTGCAGAGGCAAAAGAAAATATTAAATGCTCAGATACTTTCAAATGTGATAGGGTTTGTACAATTCTCCTCCAAATTAGTTGGACGATAGAAATGTTTTTAAACAAGTTTGTTTTCCAGCAACATGTAAAAATGCTACATTTATTCAATGTGTACTTTGCAAAAATGTTTGCTTTACATGCTTCTACAACAAATATCATCCATAAATATATAGACATCCCAAAGCCTGATGTATTAATAAAAACTCGATTAATTAAGGCTGAGATTTTGGTTATTTTATGCTACAATTAATAATTAGAAATTAAGTAATTTGGTACTAGAGGTAGATGTTATTAATTTCAATAAGAGATAATGCCTAATTATAACTTTAATATAATTTAGAAGAAAAGAGTCGATCCAGAGAGAGCTGAACCTACAACCTCTATTATTTGGTGCTTAAGACTGTCATTTATGGATGATAAAAATACCCAAAGTTGTGCTCCCAAAGAGAACACACATTAACATTCAAAAATGTATTAACAAAAATGGGTCTTGAACAATAATTTTGTTTATATCTTATTGTCTTCACAAGAAAATTATAAATACAGTAATTATTTATGAATCCCATTGGGTACATGAATATTCAAAAATAACTTTTTAATAATAAATTTAAAAATACCATGAATAAAGTGAAAATTAGTTTAAAATGTGCAGCATCTAAAAATCTGGCAGTTAGGAATAACACAGGAAATCTAATTGGATAATTACAGCACAAGGAATGTAAGTGGTCTCCCATAGAAATTGGAAGGATATGTATATGCAAGATTCAAACAGTTAGGCAAACTTAACCAGAAATAATCCAGCAGTTTAGGCTTATCAGATTGAAATTAGATACAGAACATTATGTTTGAGTTCCAGTTCTAGAATTCAGAAGGGAAGTTTATAAATAAGATATTCGTGTTGTAAAAAACTAATTGAGTTTGCTATGTTTTATAAAAAAGATGAGGCAAAGTTTATTGGCCATAACTCTTCTCTTACTGTTGTGAGGTCTGAAAGGCCCCCGGGTCTAAAATAGTAATTTTATTAATAATGTTCATATTTTGTTACAAAATATTCTTTCGTTTGGGTGAGAAATTAATGATTTCCAACGTGGGAAAGATAGATAACAGATGCTACTTCCTTCTAGGGAAGTTAGTACATCCTCTGTTTTTCCCTTATCCGCAAAAAAATCTCGCTCAGATGGGAACTATCTACCCCTCTTTGATTCCCCTTTCATCCGTTCACATGAAAGAGTTTCTGGCAGATGATTGGTCGTAAATTATGAGATATAGGGGAAATTTATCAGAATTCGGGGAGTTCGTCGACAGACCTGGAAGAGTCAGGACTCCATACATATTTCTCCAAATGACCAACGCCCTTAGACGAGTCACATAGAATAATTCCAGAGTTAGCACTGAGAAGATATACTTTGATTTTGTGCACATATCGATCTCCCATGGAATGAAGTAAATGAACTTTATCTCTAAAGTGTCCCTTGCCTACAAGACGACGACGAACGACAACTAAAACAGGTTATATGTTTACTAACGATTTTGTGAGCTCTTTCTCTCTCGATCGTGTATCGGTTAAATATAAGTCTATATATCTCTCGACTTATAGGTGGTAATTTGTAGTCATTGTCTCTTACTACCATATATTTGTACTATTTTTATTGATTTATGTTTTAATTAAATTTATTCTTGTTTACTTGTTAAAGACTGTCTCTGAATCAAATCTATAAAATAATCACCTGCGTGTTTGTCCGCGGATCGATTAATTGACAAACTGGTGTCGGGAACCCGACGTAAGGAAGGTGATTTCGCCATCACCAACCTCCACCTTAAAATTCGGCCTAACTAATGACCCCCCCGCCACTCGATTTCCCTAAGATTGGAAAAGGCCGTTCTTGTAGACGACAGAGAACTAGTCCTACCGACTAGCTGCCTAGTAAGTGATACAGGTGTAACAACCTACCCTGTACCCCAGGCTGGATCTCACACTGTTTGTAAGATTGCATTACTAACCATGCTATTTTGTTATAAGACAGGTTTAGTAAGGTCTTTCACCTTTTTTGGCAATCCATCAGATTTAGAAACCTTTCTTTTTTTAGGCAATTTTTCAGACACATCTACAAGAGAGACTTTTTTAGTTTTCATTTTTATTTCATCTTCCTTTTCTTCATTCTGTTCCTCCTCCTCATCCTCTTCATCATCATAATCATCATCATCATCATCAGAATAATCTGGAAAGACTAAACATTAAGAAATTTTAGTGAGGAAAAAAAAATTGTATTAAATAATTTTAGATTTCAATAGAACAATGTGGAATAAAATAAAATGAAATAAATCAACTGTTCAAAAAAATTACAGTGGTACCTTGGTATATGTCTGCTTTAGAATATGTCCAATTCGGAATACGTCTTGTTTGGACTAAACAAATTTTGCTCGGTATATGACTTTTGTTTGGTATATGACTTAATTATACACGCCATCTATGAACAAGTAGTACTATCGGTGTACTAGACCAGACTAGACGTTCGCGGTGCCACAGTTTATAACTTTGTTAAATTTCTTCTGATTTTAATTGTAAGTAAAATTTTATTATTTTTATTAATCATGAATTGCAAAAAGGCAAATGAAAAGCAGCAGAAAACTAAAAAATTTACTAGAATCACAATGGAACTGAAAAAAGAAATTGTTGAGAAATATGAAGGTGGCATGTGTATTTGAGATTTAACTGTTGCATACCTTATTCCGAGAACGATAATATCGACAATTGTGAAAAATAAAGACATAAATCTGCTAACATTGCAAAAGGGGTTAAATCAATTTCTAAACAGATATCGAAGACATTAGATCATGTTGAGAAATTGCTATTGCTTTGGATAACTGAAAAACAGTGTGCTGGCGACAGCGTATCAGAAGCAATTATTTGCGAGAAAGCTAAAAAAAATACATGCTGATCTCATGAAAAATCAAGCAGGAACTAGCCAGGAAAGCAAGGTGTTTAAAGCCAGCTATTTTTTTTTTCTTTTTTTACATGAGAACAGATTAATCATTTTTACATTACTTTTTATGGGAAAGGTTGGTTTGGTATACGTCCTATTCAGTATAAGTCCAAACACCAGGAACGAATTAAGGTCGTATACCAAGGTTCCACTGTATTTTAAACTAAAAGATCATCTAAAGATTAATTTATTATCTTAGATATGCATACCACAGTCCAATATGAAAATATTTGGATCCAAAACAACTTTGAAAAGTAATATTTTTTAGATATTCAAGATTTGTATTAAAGAATTCCACAATTAAATTCATTTCAATTTTATATATTAAAACATTCAGTAAGCAAATACAAAATTAATTGGAGTGTTTATATATTTTGCCATTCATGGATTTTGCAGTTTGAATGAGAACTGCTTGCAAATAAAAGCTAAAATTTGCTTATTTATACAAGCAGTTCAAAATTTTACAATAAGGAAGTGATCTTTAAATGTATTTTCAATTCATCAATCTTGCTAGAGGTCACAAAGACCTTTTAGCACATGCATAGTTAGGAGTTTTAGTTTAATGGAATGCATTTTGAATGTGTTCTACTGAGAATTTTTATTCTTAAGAATAAAAAATTACAGTATTTAAATTATATAATTTGTGGCAAAACAGTGACCATAGAAATGTGTTACTTTAAGACAAAATTAAAATACTAATTTTTTTTTACAGGGAGAAAAATCAGCAGATAAGATTCATTTTAAAAAGTTGAGCGATACGTCACTTCATTTAAAGTATGCATTAATTTGCATTAGTGTGATATTCAACTTTATGTGAAAAGTATAAAAACTGATCTTAATTCTCTGATTAAATACAGAATGACAACTAGATTTGCTGTGGATTAAATCTCTAGCATGTTATTTTCCACAGGATGGAAAAGCCAAAAAAATAACGTGGAGAAAGCCAAAAGCCAGTTAATATCTATTGTGTTTGGTCACGCTCACAAATGAGGCTACTGAGTAGTGAAGGATGGGTTTGACTAGACTATCCCTAAATTCCTAGGGTTTTTTCACCCTCTCAGATTCAATCCTGGGTTCTCAGTAATAGGAAGCCTTAATAAAGACTTAATTGCCAAGGCAGTATTTTAAATTTAAATTAAGAATGGGTGCTTAACATTTAACTTAAAAATAAGTTAATGTAGCCATATAAAATGTTTTTAATTGATGCTTGAAGAACTAAGTACACTGATACTGAGCCTGCAGAATTATTCTAAATTCACTGATACTAGGAACACTGAATTAAACATTTTGGGTAAAATATTTTTAGTTCAGTACCGACATGAATGAATTAGTATATAATTTGTTGACTTATTTCATAATATCTAATTTATACTAGTAGGATGAAGGTCATTGCATTTTCAAATTGTTTGTGTACCCTTGTGGTTGTGTAGTTTGAAGCATCACATTTTCATTGTCAATATTCTCATGTTAATTCTGCTTAAAAAATAACTAAGCAAAATATTGCATTATGCTATAACAATGCAGTCTAATAGCTATTATAAAAAGAGCATCAATACTACTCTTGCCCAAGGGGAAATCAAAGAAATAGTATCTTAATTCAAATATATACAGAAGTATGGCTGAGGCAGTTGAGCTATCAACATGCTGCTTTGGGGAACCAGGAAACTAATCTGAGTAAGCAATCCCAGATATAATCTGCCCCATCCCTCAACATCTCCATTGGGAATGTTGAGGAATGGGGCAGATTATATCTAGGTACTTGCTCAGATTAAAAAAAAGTCCTCTTACTGAAAATGGGATTGAAAAACTAATATTTTTTAAATACAGTATAAACAGTGGTGATATTCGAAATATTTAAAGGGTTTGCCAACAGAAAATTTTTCCTTAATTTTTTTTTCACTCAAATGGTGGATTAGCAACATTAGCACAAAAACTGACCTTAAGATACTCATATAAATAAAAAAAGATATATATTACACACGATGATAAAACTGACATAACTACGTGGTAAGTGACAAACACTGACAAACAAAATGGAAGTTTTGGTTAGAAATAAATACAATACTTTTTCTTGCAATATATATCTAATAATACAGATGTCATCATCTCTCGAAATACAATCTCTCTTTTATTTCACTGTCGATAGTCCAACAATACCATCTTGTATTTTCTCGCGCGCATGGGATTAAGGGATCTCTCTTATGACTGGATCTAGTTTCAAGAACTCTCTTGAGTCAATTGCAATTGAACCTCGTTTCAGTCGAGATTGAAACAGTTGAGGGAGGTCGTACCAAGGCAAACGGGGTATAAGGCTCTAGTTTAGTAGTGTTACAGAGTATAATACGTATATTTTAATATATTTTTTAAAAGAAACAAAACCATTGAGAAATGTTGTGTGTTTAACAAGGTTCAGAAAACTTTGAAAATGTTAACAACGGGTTCGGCCGAACCTGTGCGAACCTGCTGAATACCACCACTGTTTATATCTGATTTTAATAATTAAAAACACATCTGTGTTAAATAATGACAGCTGTTAATAATATGCAAAAACTTTATTCAACCTAACATAACCTTTACTTATTAACCATGACATTCAAGAAGTGTGTGGAAGCAATCAAGTCTAAGAGGAAAGTTGTAATACCAACAATTGAAATGAAAAAACTTATGAAGCATGAAAGCAGTAAACATGGCCACCAGATTGGATGCACATGCAAGATGCCAAAGTACATGGAATGCAACAAGTTACTGTATAATAAAAAAAAAATGGCATTACTTGCATATTTTAGTTATTGGTAGTGTATTTTAATTTGTTATTGGGGATTTGATTATTTTTACTTTAAATTACATGTATTTGCTGTTTTAAGTTTATCAAAATGGGTATTGTTTAGGGTCTGTAAAAAACACTAACAGGATCAGTTAT